CTCCTATTTCAGCTGACAAGCGAACAGTCTCTCCTTTTATGGAAATGTTTTTATATTCTGAACATGCCACTCCTACTTCCTTGAAAGCTCATTTGAAGTATAAATAAAGGATGCTCTGAAAGCCTTGGGCGGTGTTTCTGTGTCACATCTGTTGTGCACGCCAGTGCAGAGCAGATCGGACCGTGACCGCCCATGCGCATGTAAAAATAGATATCTGAGTTGTAAGTTTCTTTGCCTTCTAACAATTTCTCCTCACAGTTTCCATTCACACGGCCCCGCCTTCACGGAGGAAACGGCATCCTCGCAAGCAGCTTTCAGCCACATCTACACTTACTCCTGTGGTTGTTGAAGAATCAGGTGACTCAGGACCAGCGGCTCTGGGCGCCACAGTGAGTAAAATAGACTCTGCCAGGGTTGTAAGTTCCCTCCCTGTGAACATGAAAATAGAGACTATAGCTGCTACAGCAATTAACAATGGTGAAACTGCAAAAGGTGTAACTGAACCCCCAGTGGTGGATGGACAAGAGATTCTTGGACCACTGACAGATGAAGGCGGTCTGACTGCTAGTTCTGGGGCAGAGTTTTGCATAGTCAGCCCTGAAGTAGTTAGCTCAGAGTAAGTGGGGTCAGAAACTGTTTGCTTTACCTCCGAAAACTCAGAAAATGTTCACTCTCAGACTGGGAGCTTGGAGCTAGGGAGCTCAGATCATGCAGATCTAGATGACTTTTTGGCCCAGTCTGGCCACATGGAGAAGGAGGTTCTCCACAGGGCTTCCCCAGTGGCTGAACTGGACGCCTCAGTTGTCTCTGGACCCCTGGAAATTCTTGAGCCAGCTGTAACATTGTCATCCTCTCCACCCTTTATGATAGCCATATCACCCTCAACTCAGTCAGCTGCCCAGCCAGTCACTCAGTCAACTGCTCAGCTTATAGTTCAGCTGTCATCTGTTCCACCATCCACATCCACTACTCTGCCACCACATCCACCGCCTGCAGCTGCCGTGTCACCATCATCACTGTCGGCAGGCAAGCTCAGCGAGCGGGAGTAACGCGCACTGCCAGCAGTGGAGTTTAGCGAGCCGGAGGAGCCTGTGTTGGCTGCGGATGAGTTCAGCAAGCCAGAGGGAGAAGCACGGCTGCCACGTCTACATCCAGTGCGTCCACGTCCAGCATGGCCACCACATCTGCATCCGGCGCAGCCACATCCTGCGCGGCCAGCAAGTCGTGGATCGTGTGTTGTGCTACATTGTGGTTCACCGGAGCTGCAGCGCCGCCACCACTGGACGCATGGCCGCTCGTCGGAGGTGCAGCACCGCTGCCACTGGATCCTTGGCAGGCCACCGGAACCGTTTCGCCGCTGCTGCAGGACCCGTGGAAGGCCGCCGGAGCTGCAGCGCCGCCACTGTCACAGACCCGACTCTGGGGACTCAGGGTCCACGAGCAGCATGGACTATTATTATTATTATTATAATTATTGTTATTATTTGGTGATGTGTGTTTTCTGCACAATGCTGTGTTATCCTGTGTTCCACTCATTATATGTATAGGCAGGGTGTGGGTGTGTATATGTGTGTGTTTGTGGGTGTGGCTGTAGGATGGCGGACAGCCACCTGCAGGCCTGATGGGTGTGGCCCTGCTAGAGGACTGGCCACAACTGAAGTCCCTGCCACACACCTGCTGCTGATCAGGGCTCGTCAGGGGATCTATTTAGGAGATTGTTGGAGCTCCCACCGGTGCGGAATCATTAAGGAGGGTAAAACATGGTTGCCGTGGTGATGTGTGAAAAAGCGTGTCCATACAAGGAGATGCCCAGACAGCTGGAGAAGAAGAAACCTGAGCTGATGTGCTTGATTTCAGCTAAATAAGGAGATCTGTGGCTTTGCAGTTACCATGGTAACAGGCACTTATCGTTCAGTATTATCACCCTGAATGTTAGCTGTACTCTGTCAGATTCGTTTCTACAAGGTCACATCCTGCCCCCATAGTCCTCTGATTGGTCAGATAATTCAGCAACAACAGTAAACACAGTTCAGACTGACAGTGTGATGCTCAGTGGGACAGATACTAGACTGTGGACAAAACTGTCAAGTGCCAGAAATAAACTATTATTAGCTTTTAAAACATTTAAAATTACTGACTCATTAGCCATAGTCACTTAGAGACTGGACTGCACTATGGGGACTGGCTATGATGACAAATGAATAACCTGGACCAGTATCTGGGCAGACAGTATAGCCCTTTATCTGTTTCAGTTCAGCTGCTACAAGGAAAGATGCAGAAAATGTTTCATTATTTTATTATACATACATTTTGGATTTTTTAAGCTCTCTTTCTGTAATCTGAACAAACAGCTCTGTAAAAACCAATAAAGACATCAAACTGAAGCTTTGATTGATGGAAGTGCTGCAGACGTGAAGACGTATTCTCAAAGGATCTGATGTAATTTTAAGAAATCAGACTTTAAAAATATGTACTGTCCAAATGAAAAACAAAAAAGATGTGAACCAATATCCCTCTGCACAGGTAATGCCAATGTGTCAGCACTGGGAAGCCCACTGTGTTGGTAAGAAGAGAATTACTTGCTATAGACTTAAACTCTACACCAAAAATGCAGATAAAAGTGGCCACAATAAATATCGAAAACCAGTCAATGTGGAAAAAAGGGCTCAATGTGATCAGTGCTCACAAACTCCTCAATTCAATATTTGGATTGTAGCAAAATATGACTGATTTATTTGTGTACCTGGCACTATGATTCTATAAGTAAGGAATAAGAAGTTTGTTTTATGGTTGATACTCGGGCTTTGAATATCGTTCTGTCCTTAGAACCTATCTGTTGCCTGGCTGTCCTCACTATCAACAGCACCATTACTGTTGTCTGGAACAGTTGGGAATCAGTGACACTGTGAGGAGAACAACTAGGAGCAGCAGCAGGCCAATTGTTGGCTACACTGTCTGCTCTGGAACAAATGGCCCAAATCTAAAAAGCTTGGTTGTTCATAGAATAATATCATTCAATAATTATATGATAAGCAGTGGGAATATTTGGATCCTGACCTGAGAGTTTCCAGTGTACAATGTGGACTTTGCAATGCAGCAGACAGAAGCTTCACTCCTGAATCCTGCAGGTTATTGTTACTCAGGTCCAGCTGTTCCAGACAAGAGGACTGGGAGTTGAGAACTGAGGACAGGGCATCACAGCTTCTCTCTGAGAGGTTACAGCCACTCAGTCTGAAAAAACAAAGAAAGGAATTGATTAAATCAGTCAAATGATTAAAAAAAAAATACCAGCATGCATTACATTTAATGGTTAACTAAATAGCTTCATTAAAACACAACTGTCCTTCTATATCAGCACTTACTCGTTTTAAGCTCCACCTGCTCCACCTTCTGATTCAGAAGATATGAAAACAAACTGTAAATCTAGTGGAAACATGATTTCTGACTCGTGACTGAAAATGTAATCTTCTAAGATCCATTTGTACATTTTAAAGCCTGATACTGAAATATAGCAGTGGATAGCACAGACAGTCACATCAGCAAAGATTACAGAAGACGACTCTGTTCAGTCAATATTACACTAATGCTGTCAAGAAATGCCAAAGGTAGGTAAAAACTCTGGTTGTTGCAACCATCCAGTAAGACATGATTTGTACTGTTCTGCTGCAGTTTGTGACACCTGGTGGATGAGTTGTGAAGGATGATGAAATGTACACTTCAGTCCATGTTTTTCTTCTAAACTGGATGTAATTTTGGCAGCTGAGAGTTTTTTACGCTCTATACCAGCTAAAAATCAGAACAAAACAAATAAATAACTTTACCCACTAGGATCCTCATTATTCAAGATTGTGAAAAGATTCTCTACTCAGAGAATACTAGTGATTTTAGATGAGGGAGATGATTTGAAAGATGATGAAGGGGAAGAGTTTTCAGAACCTTAGGCCTTTTGTCTGCAGTGTATAGGACAGAGAAGACGGGAAGGGAGGGAGAAGTAAGGAGATTAGGCTGGGATGTCAGACAGGAAATGGTCTTGGGCAGACTCAAACCCAGGCGCTGGAGTCACGACTCTAACATTAAGTACACGGGTCACCTGGTCAGCTAGGTAAGCTATAGCAGCAGTGGTGGTCTATTTGGAGTGAGGGGAGACAGCAGACCAAAAACAACAAAGAAACAAAAAAAACACTGTGGACGAGCGAGGCAAACAAAGACTGATAACACAACAGCAGCAGTAACGATCATAGTTTATGGTGGATTCGGCGTCTCGAGTACACTGAGTTCTTGAGGAATCAAAGAGGTTACAGTTGTATCTGAGAAAGTCCAAGACTTTAGGATACAAATTCATACAAAGACAGAAAGCCTGGTGAAATAAATTACTGACACAGTTGGATGTTAAATGTAAAGACATAAGTACAAATGTACTTACAGAGCTTTGTTGGAGGCTTTGACCACTGGCAGCAGCCTCAGAAGAGCCTCCTCTGAAGCAGAGTATTTCTTCAGGTCAAACTCATCCAGATCTTTTTCTGATGACAGTAAGATGAAGACCAGAGCTGACCACTGAGCAGGAGACAGTTTATCTGTCGAGAGACATCCTGATCTCAGGGACTGTTGGATCTCCTCTACTAGAGAATGATCATTCAGTTCATTCAGACAGTGGAACAGATTAATGCTTTTCTCTGCAGACAGATTCTCACTGAGCTTCTTTTTGATGTACTGGACTGTTTCCTGATTGGTCTGTGAGCCACTTCCTGTCTGTGTCAGCAGACCTCGTAGGAGACTCTGATTGCTCTGCAGTGAAAGACCCAGGAGGAAGCGGAGGAACAGGTCCAGGTTTCCATTTGGACTCTGTAAGGCCTTGTACACAGCACTCTGGTAGAAGTGTTTCTCTGCAGATTCATTTGTTTCAGACTTCTTGGAGGTAGTTTGTTCTTCTTCCAGCAGATTGAGTCCAGAGTTAATGAATTCCAGATGGACATGAAAAGCAGCCAGAAACTCCTGAACACTCAGATGGATGAAGCAGAACACTTTGTCCTGGTACAGTCCTCTCTCCTCTTTAAAGATCTGTGTGAACACTCCTGAGTACACTGAGGCTGCTCTGATATCGATGCCACACTCTTTCAGGTCTGATTCATAGAAGATCAGGTTTCCTTTCTGCAGCTGAACAAAAGCCAGTTTTCCCAGAGACTCGACCATCTCCCTGCTCTCTGGACTCCAGTGTGGATCTGTCTCAGCTCCTCCATCATACTTGACCTGCTTCACTTTGGCCTGAACCACCAGGAAGTGGATGTACATCTCAGTCAGGGTCTTGGGCAGCTGTCCTCCCTCTCTAATTTCCAGCACATCCTCCAGAACTGCAGCAGTGATCCAACAGAAGACTGGGATGTGGCACATGATGTGGAGGCTTCGTGCTGTCTTGATGTGGGAGATGATCCTGCTGGCCTGCTCCTCATCTCTGAATCTCTTCCTGAAGTACTCCTCCTTCTGTGGGTCAGTAAACCCTCTGATATCTGTGACCATGGCAACACAGTAAGGAGGGATCTGATTGGCTGCTGCAGGTCGTGTGGTTATCCAGAGGCGAGCAGAGGGAAGCAGGTTCCCCCTGATGAGGTTTGTCAGCAGCACATCCACTGAGGTGGGCTTTCTAGGGTCAGTTAGGATTGTAGTTTTGTGGAAGTCCAGAGGAAGTCGACACTCATCCAGACCATCAAAGATGAACACAACCTGGAAGTCTTCAAAGCTGCAGATTCCTGCTTCTTTGGTTTCAGTAAAGAACTGATGAACAAGTTCCACCAAGCTAAACTTTTCCTCTTTCAGCACATTCAGCTCTCTGAAAGTGAATGGAAATATGAACTGGATGTCCTGGTTGGCTTTGGCTTCAGCCCAGTCCAGGACGTATTTCTGTGTTAAGACTGTTTTCCCAATGCCAGCCACTCCCTTTGTCAGCACTGTTCTGACTGGTTCATCTCTTCCAGGTGAGGCTTTAAACACGTCTTCTTGTCTGATTGTTGTTCCTGGTCTGTCTGGTTTCCTAGATAATGTTTCAATCTGTCTGACCTCATGTTCATCATTGACCTCTGCAGTCCCTCCCTCTGTGATGTAGAGCTCTGTGTAGATCTGATTCAGAAGGGTTGGGTTTCCTGCTTTAGCGATCCCCTCAAACACACACTGGAACTTCTCCTTCAATGCAGATTTAAGTTTATGATGACAAACGGCAGCTGGAAGTTCTGAATAACAATATTAAAAAAGTTTTGATGCATGCTCAATCATCCAGGTAAGTAAATCCCAAATGTTGGATTCTTTTCGTCTGGACGTTTTCAGTGGGAGAAATTTTTATTCACGCATCCAAGAGCCCACTGAATGAACAATGGCTGCGGGGTCAGTTCCTTGATCATTTATATGCAAACTGTCAAGACTATTGATGAACAGCCACTGATCAAAGACCATGAGTATCATTCACAGAGAATTGGGGATGGTGAAAGATGTACCTTGTGAAAGTTTCGGCCTGTCTCAAGAATTCAAAGCCCCCAGCATCCAACATCACCATAGAGGAGAGGAAGGCACACACATCACTTAGTAATGACAACACCATTATCATCCTTCCGGTAGACAAGGGTAGATGCACAGTTTTGCTTAATCAGAAAGATTATCATGAGAAAATTCTGTCACTCGTCAGTGACAAAAATACTTGAAACGAGACCCAGGAACTGGTTACAGGAAGAGGGTGATAGACTGTCTGAAGAGGTTAGAACAAGACAATGGTATTGACCGGACCTCATACTACATGCTATACCCAGGGGAATCTACACCAAGTCTGTATGGTTTACCGAAGACACATAAACAGGGTGCACCTCTAAGACCGATTGTCTGTATGATCAACTTGGTCGTCTATAACATCTCTAAGTTTCTGGCTTCGATCCTCAACTCGTTGGTAGGCAGCTCTGAACACCACATCCAAAACACCCTGGATTTTGTTGAGAAGGTGAGAGATGTCATTATGGAGGCAGATGAAACCATGGTCTTGTACGATGCTACATCTCTCTTCACTTGCATCCCAGTCACAGAACCATTGGAGGTAGTTCTCAAGAAATTACAGGATGACCCCAACCTCAGCAACCGGACCACTCTCGGCATCGACCAAGTGTGTTTGCTTTTGGAACTGTGTCTTCAGTTCACCTATTTCACATAAAAGGGTCAGTACTACAGGCAGAGCCATGGGTGTGCCATGGTTTCCCCAGTTTCACCCATTGTGGCCAATTTGTACATGGAAGAAGTGGAAAAGAGGGCTTTGTTATCCTACCCTGGAACACCACCAAGTCATTGGTTCAGGTATGTGAATGACAACTGGGTGAATATCAAATCTCAGGATACCACATTTCACGGACCACATTAACTCCTTGGACCGACACATCAAATTCGCCAGGGAGGATATGAAAAATGTCAGGTTAGCCCTCTCAGACTGTGAGATTTCCATGAGCAATGGGGGACATCTAAAAGCTCATGAGTAACATAAACCTACATATGTGGAGCAGTATTTATGGTTTGAGTCTCATCATCCACTGGAGCATAAACTGGGTGTCATTCGGACGCTACAACACAGAGCGAACACCATCCCCACAGATGCAGTGGCCAGGGAAGCAGAAAAACATCACATCAAGAAGGCCCTGAGTAAATGTGGTTATCCCAGCTGGACGTTTGTCAAAGCTAAGAAGGCGCCAAAAGAAAGTTCCAGCCGATCCAGGAGAGAAGGACAACCGCTGCCTAAGTGAAAACCTGCAGTGATCCCATGTGTGTCAGGAGTATCGGAGCATTTTTTCTAAACACCGGGTCTCTGTGGCTTTTAAACCCCAAAGCACGCTGAGCCAAAAATTGGTCCACCCCAAGGATCGGGTCCCCCGACACAAACAGAGTAACATAGTGTACGCTGTTACGTGCGAGGAGGATTGCCAGGATTTATACATCGGGGAAACCATACAACCTCTGGCGAAGTGGATGGCACGGCACAAAAGAGCTACCTCGTCAGGCCAGGACTCTGCAGTCTATTTACACCTACAGGCCAGTGGACACTCTTTCAATGATGATGATGTACACATCCTGGACAGGGAGGAATGCTGGTTTGAGTGGGGAGTAAAGGAGGCCATTTACGTGAAAAGGGAAAGAACATCTCTGAATTGGGGAGGGGGCCTAAGGGTACATCTGTCACCATATCACAATACTGTGATTGAAGCCATTCTGCAACTCTCTGTGAATGGTACACATGGCCATTGATCAGTGGGCTTTCATCAATGAGCTTTGATCAGTGGTTGTTGATCAATGGCCATGAGAATTTGCATATTAATGATCAAGGAAGTGATATCACAGCCCATTGTTCCTTCAGTGGTGCTAGTTTCAGTCATTATGCAAATGAAATGTCTCTCCCACTGAAAACATCCAGATGAATAGAATCAACCTTTTGGGAATAATTCAAATACAACATTAACAATCAGGTCATGCTTACAAAATGCTCTTGACAAAAAAGCCATCCTAAAACTGACTGAACACATGTTGGCCTTTCTCTAAAGATATTAATAAATGTTATATTAATCACCAGCAGCTTAAATCTTTAGTTAAATCTTACTTCTCTGCAGACGTTCAGCAAGCTCCTCCTGCTTCATTCTCCTCATGAAGTTCAATGTGATCTTCAACAATGCCTCTCTGCTGCTCCTCCTGTTCATATCATCCTCCCTCTGACTCTCTAAGCATTCTGGGTAATCTGGACTCAGAACCTTATGGATCTTCTTCAGCTCGTTCTTCACAAAAGTGATGATGTTGTCCTCCAGCAGCTGGAACAGAATACTTTATGAATGAGCCAATCAGACTGAAATTATGGAGCCAAACATCAGATCCATGTTGGACACACTGACAATCCACTGGTTTACAAAGAGCAGCATGGAGATGACTGTGAAGAGAACAAAGTAGTTGTTGTACATGTACAGACCATAAATATGGAGTCCAGGTGTGTTTGATGCTGCTGGGCAGACTGACCACTAGAAACCTCTGAGCTTTGCTGGTCCATTCTGTGTAGGAATCATGGAGAATGAGATCAAGTACAGGATAAAGATCCAGTAGTTTCTGCTCAAATATTTTCATCTGAATCCACTTTGTTAAGTTTTAAACTTTCAGATTGTGAAAAATTTGAGCACTTTATTCTGCTTGTATCTGCATTACTGTTGGACTTTTAGCTGTGTGATGGTCCTGCTCTTCACTCTTTCTAGCAGCTTCTTTCCTGTAAAGGTAATTTTGTAGTTGCAGTGAAATCTAAAACAACAGTATGAAATTTTTCTGGAGTTTAAATAGTCACAGAGTCCTATTTCGGGACTGAACTATTTCTGATCTAAACCAACATTTACATGGAAAAGCTCCAAATGTGTGTTAGTGTCAACAGTTCAGTGAGCAGAAGATCAACTGTTCTCCAGAAGGCACAAAGTGTTCTCCATCTATAAGATACAAATATGAAACGTTTCCTACAGAATCTGCAACAACTTTAAACAGTTGTGTACCTGCTGATCAATCCTACATCACTGAGTGAATCTGACCTCAGTTTTTCACACAGAGCAGCTTCAGCTCTGGGTGTTGTTGGTGGACACACAGTTCAGGAACTTCTACAATAGTTCTGCTGGTTTAAGATCCAGAGTTTGAGTTTGTTTGGTGCTTCTAAAACATATTATTATTATTCTTAGACTGTCCTTTGGAAGAACGACTTGTTTTCTTTGTGTCACAGTCTGACTTTCTCCTCAGACTAAGCGATGCTACAAGAGGAGCTGCAGTAGGAGGATTTGGAGCTGAGTTAATAACGCTAAATAAAATATGAGGTAGATAGATAGTAGTCATAAACCAGAAGAGTAGATGAAACAAAGTGACCATGAACAGAACAGGTAACAGCTGACAGGAAGCCACACACACAGGCGCCATCTTGACACAACCCTACGACAGGCAGCCTGGAGCTGAGCCAGCATCCACACCACTGTGGTTCAGTGTTGTCCTGATGGAGGCTTCATTAACATCAGCCAGTATGATCCAGGCTTTAGCTGCTGGGTCTCTTTGTGACCTCTCAGACTGTTTAACAGATCAGACACAAAGACATGAGAATCAGAGACAGAGCAGCTCTGTTTTGGTTCCTGTGCCTTCGTGTTTAGTTCCTCTTGTTTCTGTGTTCGCTCCATCTCACCAGTCAATCATGTCTTCATGTCATTGTCAAGTCTGCATCTTTGTGTCTGTTCCCTTTGATAGTCCCTTGCCTAGTGTTCAGTGTGTTCAGTTTTCTTCCTCCCTGTCTTGTGTGTGCGATTACTCGCAGCTGTGTTCCCCTCCTGTGTCTCATCCCCTCGTTATACTTTGTGTATTTAAGTACTGTGTTTTCCTCTGCTTGTTGTCACATCGCCCCCTATATGATGTGTGTTTTCTCTGTGCTCCTCGGTTCCCAGGTTATTTCAGGGTCTGTTTCTAGTTTTTCACTTCTTAGTTCTTTGTTTCTAGTGTCAGTTTTAGCTCATTGCATGAGCCTAGATGAGGTCTGTGGAGTTTATATGATTAACATAATTTGGGTTAATCATTCAAATTATAAAGTTATGACTCACTGACTTAGAGTTGTATTATATCGGAAGGAATATTTAAAAATGGACATCTTAAGAATAATGGAATAAGCTCATATTTTATTTCTTGTACTTAAAATGTGTGCTTTTACTTTGATAGTCTGGCAGAGACAGGAAGTGAGGAGAGTGGAGCCACACAGGTTTTTGACCTCTCCATCTCTCTGCATCCGTTTGAACTGTAAGTCTTTGACAATTGTGGATTCAGTTATCCTGAACCAATCTTTGGACATTTGTAAATACATATTTTAAAACTCTATCAAAGACTCCTGATGTGGATGTTTGGAGAAGGAAAAGAGGGACAAAGTGGAGCGTTGAACTGAGGCTTCATTCACTGCAAACCTACAGTTATGTTTTCTTATTTCTAGTGTTCACAGCTGAAATAAAGCTGCCTCTTTGACTTCATCCTGTTGTGTTTGGGTCCTGCCTGCCACACAGAGCTACAGGACAAAGTCTAATATTTTTATCTGTTTGTTTTCTTTCTAATGAATATTTGGTCATATTTATCCAGGAAAACACAAACATGTAAAGGAGCTCATCACAGTTCTCTGACCTCGCTGGTCTGGGTTCATCACTGAAGTCTGGAGGTGGACTTTTGGACCGGTCACTCCTCACAGACAGACAGCTGGATCCTGCAGTCTGTGACCGCTGATATCTGAAGACACAAACATGATAAAGTCATCGAAGCAGCTGTGATCACACAGACTGCAGATAATGCAGCTGTTTCCTGTCAGGAACAGTCCTATTAGATTAGAATTAAGCTTTTACAGAAAAACAAATGTCCCTGAATGCAACAGTGAGAAACAGTCTTCCTCTGTGGCTGTGATAGCTGCCGTTAGGAGTGTTCATGTGTTTGCAGTTAGACGAGGAGATGTTACCATCATGGAGATGTTAACAAGTTCTGCAGCATCACGTGGCACAAGCACTTTGTGTTCCTGTCATCTGCAAGCAACAGGAAGTTCTTTAATAAAGGCGGGATGGAGATGTGACTGTGATGGTTCTCCTTCATCCAGCTGTTACACACATCTGGGCTCACACGACGAGTCTTTGTCTAAGAAAGCAGCTGCTCTCTGAACACTTTTCTGAAGAGGAGCTGCACAAACCTTAGTTTGATTTCTAAAGCAGCGTATCATCCTGACAGAGCACAGCTGGCATGCTAGGATCCAGATGTGTGAGGTCTAAATTTACACCTGTGATTAAAATAAATAGTTAAAAACAGACAATTCTGTCCAAATGTCTTAAACCAGATAAACTGACAGTTACACCTGAGCCTGTGTGTCCTTTGAGACACTGCTCTCCTACAGAGATTCATTTTAGAAACCAGGAAACATCAAAATCATTTAAATCAGACACCTAACTGACATCAGTTCATGTTACTAACAGTTTACCTGTCTGCAGCAGACAGCTTGTATCCCTTAAAAAGACTGAAGCGTCCAGCAGACCAGTCACTCTGTAAGGACACAAAGCCGGGTGGAGGTCCAGGTGGGTTCCTATGAATAATGATGGAGCAGTGATCTGAGTGCTGAGCTGTGACACGGAGAAGAGTGACGGACAGTTAGAGATGGTCATCTCACCTCTGAGCTTTGGTCTGGCTCTCATGTTCCCCACACAGAGTGGGTTTAGAGGGAGGGACTCCCTCCTCTCTGTCCTCACACTGATCCATGCTGCTCAATTCACATCAGCTCACACACACTTTCTACCTTCACCTGCAGAGGAAACACAAATCATTCATGTGCACATCAACTGAAATCCTCCTTTCCATCATGTGTGCTGTCCAAATATCAGCTGCTTCTTTCCTGCTTCATCTCAGTGTCAGCTGAATGCAGTCAGACAGCAGTGTGAGGCAGAGGAAGCTGCCATCAGCTGCTCTACTATCAGTCCACTAGATGGAGCCATGAAGCACACACGATGCATTCACTGACACACACTGATTCACTGTGACAGGAAGCTTTAGTCAGTTCAACACATGGGAACAACATTTCAAACATTTCAGCTGATCCATGATTCAAAGAGGATCAGCAGAGTTAAAAGCTTCACACTAATTATTCCTGTTTGCAGAGAACTGCACACACACTGATTTGCTGGCAATGACCAACTGTGTACAAACTGATTTCTGTGTCTCACTTCAGACTGGTTGTGTAGGTGTGTGTGTGTGTGTAGGTGTAACCTTTATGTGTTCACTCCAAAAATATGCTGTCTGACCGCTCAGACTGAATCAAAGTAAAGTTCACATGCTGATGTGAACTTTGAGTCGATACTCAAGACAAGTGATTCATTACACTTTACTTGTCTTATAAAAATGCAGTATGTTATTTGCACTAATTAATTAATACATCTGTTATATTACATTTATAGACCTCAGAGCCCTGAAGTCTATCAACCAACTATTCTTACATATTTATCTTTAATTGTGGTTTATGAATTCCAGTTATTTCTTTAAACCTGGTTGTTGGACTGAGTCAGTGCTTTTCCGATGGATGCTACACTAACACTAGAACATGTTCAGTAGCTCTGGGGAACACAGTTTAACATCAGCAGCAGATTTTAGAATTTTGTGTGTTTGATGTTGACGTGCGTGTTAAGAAACTCTGAAGTGTTATTTCAGTTAACCTGTGTTAAATCTGAGTTAAGCCTTCAGATGAAAACTACTGTACATGATCTGTTTTTTTAATCTAAGATTTGAGCCTCACATGTTTCTGGTCCTGGAATTTTAAACAGCAAAGCAAAACTGCCACAATCTGCAGAGTATAAAGATGTTTGAAGATGAGGAATCACATGCAGATATTAGAGCTGAAAACATAAAGAGAACTGGTTATTGATGGAAACTCAATAAAGCAGAACGCAAGAAGCTCTCTCCTTTGTCTTAAATCATGTTCAATGGTTTTTGTGTTGTTGTTTTTTATGATGTTAAGTGTTTTCAGCCAACGAAACATTTTTCCATAAAAGTTAAAACCAGAAAAACTAGAAACTCATATGCTTCGCATAGTTTCTGTTTATGACACACCTGATCTATGTGAAGCATCAGGTGCTTCACAACACTAACACACATCTAGAGTTTGTTTGATTTACACTCTAATTCATGTCAGACTTCATATTCATTTCATGTTAAAAAAAGTTTCACTTCACATTCTGCTCCAAAAGTTCCTAAAGACAAACTGTTAAAGGAGGAAACAAAGCACACTTACAGTTTCTTCAAACACACGAACAACAAGCTCCACTCCACACCTGGACAATAACCATTGACACACAGGTGAGCTGCTTCTTGGAAGGAGGTGGGACTCCACCTGAAGCAGGACAGGTGGGAGGAGGAAGGAGGCAGATTTTCCCAAGAGTTTTATTTGTTGCAGAGTTAATCAGGTTGGCTGAGATTAAAGTTAAGCTTCATAACTGAAACCCAGCAGCTGTCTGTACTAAGTTTTGAATGGCTACTAAAAAAATAAATTTAAGTGTTTTTTAACATCAGACCTGTTTGTTGTTGTTGTTGTTGTTTTTTTATTATTCAATAAGCAGCGTAGCTGTATATTATTTTTGTTAAGAGACATGGAGCTTACATTTCTGTCAAGTAGTGATTGTTCTTAACTGTATGAAGCATAATAGACATTATGAAACAGATGATACACAACAGAGAATTCTGCCAAAGTGCTTAAAATACTTAATTACACTTAGTACTTAAATTATCGTTTTGTTTCTTAAAGAAATCTACTACATCATGTGTAATTTCCAGGCAGCAAAACTGAGGAGCTGAGATGTCATCAAGTACGCTGCGGTTCCAATTGTAAAATAATCGTGCCACGTTCTCGGGAAGAATGAACACCCCCGTGAACTTATGAAGTACAGACTTGCGTACTTGAGTGTTGAGAAACAGCCATGATCCTGGAGGACTCCACAGGAAGGCTTGTTTCAGTTTGTATTTTAGTTTTTGAAGACATTTTTAGTGCATATGTCAAAAGCTTAGGAGTCTGTCATGCAAAGATAAAGAGTCGTTTGTCTAAAAACCCCTCACGTTTTGTTTTTTTCTTTTTTCCCCTTTCTTTCTTTTTAACCAGACTAACAAGCACTAAAACTGAGGATATTTCTTCTATAATTTTAGTATAGTTAGTCAAGTTCACTGAATCATTTCATTTAGTTTTAACTCTTTTTAAAGGTCTAGTTTTTATTTTAATTATACTTACTGAAGAAAAAAAAATACTGTTTCAGATCTAGTTTTAGCTTTGTGATTAGTTTTATAATAACCTGTGTGTTGACAACTGTGTGTTTAGTAACACTACTTTAAGTTGGGACAGAGCCAACAGTTTGCAATGCAGCATTTTTAATCAGTTGCCAACATGTTTAATCTAAGATATCTAAGATATTCTAATATCTTATACTGTGT